TCTTTCCAAAAGAGGGATGGAAGGGAATAAACACACAATAGAAGCTGTAGGGTTATACATCATAGATATACATGCGAATCTAAAACTGCAGAATTGTTGGATGTAGGATATTCAGAAGTGGCAGAGATATATGCAAATTTGCACTATGCAAGAGAAGTTAACATAAAGGGCTTTAAACTGAAGCAAATCAGGACATGTGCAGATAGTCATGTGGCAGTGGGGCTCTCAGAATTCTTAAGATAGACTCTGTCCAAGTACGGAAAATCCAGTAAAAACTCAACAGACTCAACAGTGAAACATAACAGTGTCACTGTCACAATCAGCTCAGAATAAGCTTCTTTCCTGGATATGCGCTAGTCAAGGAATACCTGCATGCTTAAGCTGAAGAGTCTGTGAGAAAGAAGCTAAACATAGTCAACCATACTTTGAATGACTGCGAAGCATCAAATCTAAAGCGACAAATACTTTTTTTAAATTCCAAATTCAAAAAGTGATTCCAAATCATATAGTATTCAGAAGAATATTCTATCAGTATTCGAGAATTTTAGAATAAATATTATGAATGAGTAGAAGTTTTACAATAGGCTTATTGGCAGCAGTACGACCGGCTTCCGAAAAAAAAAACAGTACAGGCACCTTTTACTATTTGGGTGATTTCGTTATGTGTACTTTCATTTATTTATAATCTTTATAGTGTGGATTTAAAATCTTAGTTATAATCTGTAACTATCTATTGTTCTTCTGTTTAAAACGATAGTATTTACATATATACGTATACATGGAAGGTGTGAGGTGTCTTGCTAAAATGAGGCAAGATTGCAGCTATGATTCATACACAAACGCATCTTGTTCTTTCCTGCAACTCTGTTCTTGGCTCTTGTTGCGTTTTTTTATTTTACCAAACTATCTTCTTCTTTAAGTGCCGTCTTCCAATCGGAGGTTGGATATCATCATCACTATCTTTACTTTATCTACTGCTGCTCTAAAGAGTTATATAGAACTGCATTTAAACCAGTCCCTTAAATTCTTCAACCATAACAATCTCCTTCTTCATATACTCCTTCCTCCTCTTATCTTTCCCTGTATTATTAGCCTTAGCAGTTCATATCGCTGTCCCCGCATTACGTGTCCCAGATATTGTAACTTTCTAATTTTTATCGTGTTTATTATTTCGCATTCTTTGCCCATTTCTCGCAATACTTCCGTGTTAGTTTTCCTCTGTGTCCATGTTATTCTAAGCATCCTCCTGCAACACCACATTTCAAAGGACTGTAACTTATTTATCTGTTCTTGCTTCAATGTCCAGCTTTCAAGTCAATATTGCAGTATCGAAAACATGTAGCATCTCAGTGCTCTTACTCTCAGTTCTAATCTAAAATCTTTGTTGCAGAGAATTATTTTCATTTTTACAAACGCATTTCTTGCTATTTCTATCATAGCTCTTATTTCGGTTATTTGATCATTATTGTCTAAAATCCAGGTTCCTAGGTATTTGTATTTATCAACCCTTTCTATCGGTACATTTCCCGAATATATGTTTGTTGGTATATTTGTTTTCTTTGTTAATATCATGTATTTGGTCTTTTTTATATTCATTTTTAGTCCATATTGTTCACAGAAACTTTTTGTTTTGTTTAGCAGTAATTGGAGTTGTTTAGCAGAGCTTGCCATAATCACGGTGTCATCTGCATATCTTATGTTGTTAATAGATCTTCCGTTAATTATCATTTCTTCACTTTGAGATAGTAATGCTTCTTCAAAAATGGCTTCACTATATACATTCAATAGTAATGGGGACATAATACATCCCTTCCTAACTCTTCTTCTGATTTCAATTTCTGGACTGGGCTCGTTATCTATTACGATTTGTGCTCTTTGATTCCAGTAGAGGTTTGTTATTATTCGTAAGTCCCTGTGGTCTATGTTTTTTGTCTTTAGAATTGGGACTAATTTTTCATGTCTTACTTTGTCAAATACTTTTTCAAAATTAACGTAACAAACATGCACATCAACATTCATATCCATGCATCTTTGAGCTAATACGTGAAGCAAATAACGCTTCTCTGGTGCCTAGGCCGTTTCTGAACCCAAACTGACTATTATCTATTCCTTCTTCCAATTTTTTATTTATACAACCATGTATTATTTTCAGGAATAATTTGAGAATGTTACTTATTAGTGATATTGTTCTGTATTCACTGCAATATTTAGCGTTTGTATTTTTAGGAATAGTATAAAAGGTGGAGAGGAACCATTGTTTCGGTATGTGTTCTGTTTTGTATACTGAGTTAAATAAGCTACTATAATGTCTAAGGTTTCATCATTCATGCATTTTAAAATTTCTATAGGGACCTAATGCTTTACCATTTTTGTTGTTTTTTTAATGCCATTTTAATCGCCTCTTTTAATATCTTTAAAACCATATCCTGTTCTACTTCTAACTCCATTTGTTTGTTCTATTGTCTTTGAATAGTTCGTTGATGTATTCTGTCCATCTCTTTAATTTGTCGTTAGTATTCAACACAAGTTTCCCATTTGCATCTTTCAGCATTTCTGGTTTTCTTGTTCTATTGTTGTGAGTTAAGTCTTTAATTTTTTTATGTGTGTTCAAACTATGATATCTTTTCTGATATTCTTCTATTTCTGCGCATTGTTCTTTTAGCCATTGTTCTTTCGCTTTCTTAATTCTGTATTTTATTTGTTTATCTTCCTTTTTTGTACATCTGATTATCTTTGTTCTTATATTCACGTCTTTCTTCCATTAAATCTAAAATTTCTTCCGTCGTCCATTGCTTCTTTTTATATCTGGTTTGTATTAGAATTTCTTTTTGACTTTTATCTATTTCTGTCTTTATTAATAACAATTTTTTCTCCGTCTCAGTATTTTACAGAATTTGTTCTTTAACATTCATTAATCCGTTGCTAATTTCATCTGCCAGGCGATACCTTATGAGTGGGTTGTGATCTGATCCTATGTTGGCAATTGGATAGGTTTTTGCAAATATAATTCCGTTCCTGTATCTTTGTCTAACTAATACATAGTCTATTTGGTGTCTTACAATAATTCTCTCTTCTTGATCTGCGGGTGTCTTCCAGGTATATAGTCTTCTCTTTGGCATTTTGAAAAATGTATTAGCTATAACAAAATTATTGTCTTGGCAAAATTCGATAAGCCTGTCACCCCTGTCGATTCTGTTGCCCAGACCATATCCTCCTGTACATTCTTCTACTTTTCCTTTCCAACCTTTGCGTTAAAGTCTCCCATTATAATTGTTAAATCTTGCGTTTTAATGGATATTAAAATGTTGTCTAGGTCTTCGTAGAAAGTTTCAATATCGCTCTCTACCAAACCAGCTCAGTGTAATCAATTAAGGGTCTAATATTTTAAGAGGCTACAACAAATGACCAGTATATAATTTTTCTCACTCCAAGATTATAATTTGTTAACTATCTTTACTTGTCAAATCTCTTGACCTCCTGGAGAGAAATTAGTGGCCATCATGATGTTGTACAGCAATCCATCTCCCTGTATCTCTGTCACTTGTTATTTTGTGTAATTTGTATTTATTTTTTTAATTTTGTAGTAAATTTCTCGTAGTCGTCGGACTTTTACTATCAATATCGTCAAATAATAAAAAAGCATATCTAGGACACATAATGCGGGAAACAGTATAATAATCTTCGACTGATTAAGACGGTAATTATGATGGGTAAAATCGAAAGACGCAAGGTCTCCTTTTCCACATTTTTCTCCTTTTTTCCATTAATGCTGGTTTGAAACAGTCTGCTGTAAAACGAAAAAATTAATCGATTTAAATAATAAAAAAAGTGATATGTATTTGAGGAATATTCAAAAAACAAACTATTTGTAACTATAAGTAAGCTGTGTAGTAAAGTAAAAACATCGTCAATTTGGACGTTTTGTGAAGAATTAGTATCTAATTCTTCACAAAACACCATACCAATTCTTTTGTTGCCCATTCTGTATCCGAGATCGAGAAATATTACTTTGTTTATAATTTTACCTATGAGTAGGTTAAACAAGAAGGGTCTTAAACTATCGCCTTGTCTAATTCCTCCCGGTGTTGGAATATTTCAGTGAATTGGTCTTCTGCTCTAACTTTGGTTACATGGTTGTTATTTAGGTTAAGGACTATCTTTGTTAGGTTGGTCGGTGTTTTATTTTCTATTAATATATTTATAATGTCTTCCAGGTGAACCCTGTCAATTGCCTGCGTCAAATCAATGAAGCAAATATACGCTGGCATGCCAAACTCTATAGCTTTTTTTTTATTTGTTTTATTACGAATACTGCATCTGTTATAAACCGCCTTCTTGTAAAACCATTTTGTTCTTCAGCATTAATTATTTCCTTTTCAATTTGTCCTTAATAATACCCGTGAAAAGTTTCATCGTTGTATTTAAAAGGGTTATTCGTCTGTAGCTTTGTGGGCAAGTTTTTTGTCCTTTTTTAAATATGGAGATTGTGATTCTCTTATGCCATTCCACTGGCGTTTGCTGTGGCGTTTAAGAATGTCGTTTAAGTGCAGAAATTATACTAGGAAAACTGCTCTAAAAAACGACAATTAAGCAAATCAGAAATGGTGCTTAAATGTGTGCATACAGAAATTCAAAATACAATTTTCCTTCGGTTTCAAATGGCAATAACTCGAGAAGAGTGCTTTGTAGAGAAAAAATATTTATACTTTTTTTGTAGAAAATTTTATCGTCTTAAAAGTTTTTTTTTGTTAATTTTTTCGATAACTCTAATCATCTCGGAGATATACCCAAAAAACCAAAATTTGTGACCTACATCCTTGGATAAAAAACAACGCAAAAGCGTAATCGATGGGAACTTTTGACATAGCTTTTGTCATGACGTAGTTAAGACACACACACACAATCCAGCTTGTTGAGAATTAGTGCAAACCCAAATGTCTATTTTGTCTGGACTATATTGTAACGCAATACTTTCTTCTTCTTCGCGTGCCATATCAGAATTATCCAACGTTGGCGATCACCATTGCGAAGGCTTCTTAATCTTCTGCAATGTGGAATAATTGTCCTGCATTTGGTATCTGAGTCCATTCACGAATGTTTTTTAACCAAGAAACTTGTTTTCTACCTACACCTCTACGGCCCTCTATTTTGCCTTTAAGGATCAGTTAAAAATTTTATATCGACTTCCTTTTAATATATATCCCAGATAAGACATTTTTTGATGTTTAACAGTCTTTAGCAGTTCTCTATCTTTGTTGACGTTCCTTAGTACTTTTTCATTAGTTTTTCTTGCTGTCCCAGGTATCTTTAGCATTCGTCTATGAACCCACATTTCCAATGCTTCCATTTTGTTCATGATCGATACTTTTAGCGTCCACACTTCTGCCCTATACAAAAGTACAGACCAAACATAGCACTTGACCATTCTTTTCGTCAGTTCTAAACTGAGATGGTTATTGCAAAGAAATGACTTCATTTTCATAAAAGTAGTTTTAGTCATTACAATTCTACGTTTGATCTCTATGTCTGGATCTAGTTGTTCATTACCACAGTTCCCAAATATGTCATTTTGTGAACTTTCTCTGACTCCGTTCAATTGAAGATTTGCATCCAGATATGGGTCACGACTAAACACTAAAAATTTGTTAAAAATAAAAATAAAAGTTTATTTTAATGCCCATTACCTCTCCTACCTCGTGAATACGATCAAGTAGAATTTGAAGACCTTCAATATTATCTGATAGAATTACTGTATCGTCTGCATATCTAACCACATTAAGTAGTTCCCCGTTGATTTTTATTCCATATGGTTGTCTCTCAAGTGTTTTTTTAAATAACTGGTCCGAGTAAACATTGAACAACGTTGGCGACAAAATGCAACCTTGTCTGACTCCTCGTTGTCAGGGGATTTCATCGGTGTAGTTATCTTCAATTTTTACGATAGCAGTTTGATTCCAGTACAAATTTTAATGAAACGAATATCCTTGTCATCTATTCCGATATTTTTCAGTATTTGCATTAATTTTACATGCTGTACTTTATCGAATGCCTTTTCGATACGAAACATTTTTCGGCATGTTTCCACGAAACATACAAATGCATCTTTTCTTTGGTCACGGCATTTTTGCAATAGAATGTTAAGCGCAAAATGTGCCTCACTGGTTCCCATAGCACATCTAAAACCAAATTGGTTATCTTCAAGATCTTCTTCGCATCTGCGTCTAATTCTGTTGTGAAGTATTCTGAGGAAGATTTTAAGAGTGTGGCTCATTAGGCTAATGAATCGATATTATGAGCATTTGCTCGCCTTGTGTTTTTTAGGTATTGCGATAAAGATGGATTTGAATCAATCTGCGGGAATCACCCCGGTGTTATAAATTGAATTAAAAATTCTTACTACTACTTTTATGTTATCATTCTCTATTAGTTTCATCAACTTAGATGGTGTATCATATGGACCACAAAAGCCGTATGGACCATATGGCTTTTCTAATTTTAGCATTATTTATAGCATGTTCTACTTCGCATTTTATAATTGCTGAGCCGTCAGTACAGTTTTGGTAAAATTCGGCAATATTATTTCTGTCATCTTCAAACAACTCTGATATATACAGCTGCCATTCTTTTCTTATTTCATGCTTATTTACAATAATTTTGTTATTAGTGTCAACAAGTACAGAGGGAACTCGTTTTTTAAATATATTACTCATTTCTTTCAGTTTTTTGAGCACATTAAATAAAGCGTGTTTAGATATTACATCCTCTATTTCGTCGCACCTTTCTCTCATCCATTTTTCTTTAGCTAATTAGATCTCATTTTTTATTCTTCTCTGCAGGTGTCTATATTCTGTTACATTAAATTTTATTAGTCGACGTTGTTCCATTAATTTCAAGATGTCGTCTGTCATCCAGTTATTTTTCTTGATTAAGTTTTTTCTATAATCATTGTTTGTGGTGATTTTGCTAACGTGGTTTTTAAATTGACTCCATAGTTCTTCTGGATCTTCTAGTTGTTCTCCGATGTTTTTTATTCTATTGTTAAATTCTTTTTTAATGTTATGTTTTATGTTTATATCGTCAAAGTTAAGTACATTGGTTTTTGGTTTTTGTCGCTGATTTCGTTTTAACCTTAGTTTAATATCTGCCACGAGTGGTTGATGATCAGATCCAGTATCTGCCCCAGGATATGTAGTGACTTTTTTGACGGCATTTTGAAAACTCTCATTTACAAGTATATAGTCTATTTGATTTCTTGAAGACTTGGGGTTATTACCATCATCAAATGGGGCTTTCCAAGTGTATAGTCGTTGCTTGGGTAGTTTATACCAGGTTTTTGCAATGATCATATGGTTTTATTTACAGAATTCATACAATCTCTGTCCTTGATCGTTAGGTTGTCCTAAACCATAAGGACCTACAATCTGACCTCGTCGACCTTCACCAACTTTTGCATTGAAGTCGCCTATAATATATAAAATTTCATGTTTATTAAGTTTCTGTAAGATGTCTTGGATCTGATCATACAACTTCTCGACTTCATCGTCATATATTTTCTATCTGCAGTTGGGGCATAGATTTGAAGTATATAAGTTTTAAATGGTTGAGTATTTATTTGGAGTAATATTATTCTATCCGAGACTGGTACGAAATTGGTCACATATTTGTGACCACGTTTTCTGGTTACGCAATCCTACTAAGTATTTTTCTAAAAAGGTTTCTATAAGTGAGACATAAGTTTAAAATAAAAACAGAGCAACATATGTATCCTTTTATTGTGTAATCTAAGATCTATTATTATTTTAACAAATGTTTCAATTCGTTATAAAAAAATAACAAAATTATTTCAAAATAAAAATTCTCAATCTTAAAGTATATATTTAGGCTTTAAAAATTTCATTGAAAGAAGTGGTAAGTTTTTGAATTATACTTTTGGTAAAAGTAAATCAAAAACATAAGAAATATGAAAGTACAGTATATTTTTAATCTTTATAACTACATATTTATAAAATTATTAGTTTTAGCAAATGTCTTGTCTATTTTACAAAATTTTATTTTCCAACCCTCTACCATCCCTCGATCCATTGGCTATTTAAATTTGATTTTTTAAACTGTGGAGCAAAGCAAATGTCCTACTAAAGTACTATAGTAAGGTACTGCGGTATATATAACGAACAGTAGTGCAACTCTTCGTCCTTGTCGAAAGTCACAGTCGTACACACATATAGAGCAGCCATATTGTAAGGAGAATTTACGTTACACAACTATTTGTTTTGTCGATGATGTTGGTGCTTAGAGATTAGCTGGTTAAATAGAAACAATACAGTTAGCTGCATTACAAAAAACAATTCCCAAATTGATGTGGATAAAGAAGGTTAGCAGTCTATTCTAAGCAGAGAACCAATGGCGTGGAATAAGATCATCAAAAAGAAGGGCAAGCACATCCTCGATAAGTTTCCTTAAACATGGCTTCTGATTTAGTTTCATTTGTATCTAACTTTATAAGTCCAGAGAAGCACTACTATTTGTTTGTTATACTGTGAGCGTACCAAATTCAAGTTTGTCATCTGAAGAATTTATTCAGTTTATTATTATTTTGTAGGGTCGCCAATATGGAAGCCAAGAGACAGTAGTATAGAGGCGACCTCTACCACTCTCCCGCGCAAGGCCAGAGATCACAATTTGACGACCCTAAGTGCTTCGCGTAAGTCTTTGATAGATACGAGCACTGGCTTGGAAATACACAATACATACAATCAGCAATAAAAGCGAACTAAAAAAATCGTATGGCGCGATCCCATTCAGTTTGTCGGAAATCAATAAGATCAATAACAGTATGAAAATAGTCTTATTTTGTATATACAACAATTGTATCTACCTCCAATTCATATGTTTTATATATCAATTAACAAATGCTACATTAGCTAAAATGCTTCTGAAACATTTTGAACTCTATGACTACTATGAGATTATTAGTTTTTAATTAAAGCTATTAGCAAAACTTCTCCTCAGTTGCCAAGCCCAATGACATATTTACTGATTTATATAGACTTTTGAATAAAATATCCATGATCAGACAAAACACAACATGTTATATAAACAATAAACACATAACAGGACATTATCTATTTCCTAAATACTGAACGGAATATTTCAAATACCCACATTATTAATTTTCTTCTATACTCTTCTTTTCCTGTATACGTAATTTCTTCTTAAGCATTGATATTGTTTTTTCGCTTATAGTTTGCTCTGTGGCCAATTATTTTGCTTTATTAAAAAGTTTTACGTAGCATTTAGTAATTTTTTGGGGTAAAATATCATTATCACATATAAAATAATACAAATATGAACTCTTATATTTTAAAACGTTCTCTTTGTTACATTTTTTTCAAATAGGTACCGTACAAAAGAAACAATACCATCAAGAAAACATTAAAAGGCTACTCTCACAAAAACAATTATGTAATTTATTGAAAGGGCCTAAAGTAATAAAGCTGAAAGGCAAGTTTAGGTTCGGAACGTATAAATACCTTAGGTACGCTGATGATACCATCCTTATTGCTACATCTAAAGAATAACTAGAATACAACGAGTTGAAGTAAGAAGGTTAGAAGCCGGGCTCCAAATAATTAATAAACAAGAAACCAAAATAATGATAGTACACCGACAGAACGGTTAACACGTTTACTTGTCTGGGATCCTTAATAACAGACCAATGAGGATGCAGTTAAGAAATTTAAAGAAGTTGCACTGGTCAAGCTAGCCATGACCAAAGTTACAAAGATTTGGACAAGTTATTTCCTTTTTCTTAGAGTGCCGCCTTTCTACGGGGGATAGCAATTATAAGGCTATTTTTATTTTTAAACTTGCTGCTCTAAACAAATCAAATAACCAACAGATCTTCTTCCTTGAGTTTTCTTGTTTGTGCAGTAGTGATTATTTCTGTTTCTTTACCAACCCTCTCCAGTATTTGTTTATTTGAAATTTTATCAGTGCATGATATTTTGAATACTCATCGGTATATCTAGAGTTGGAAAGCCTCGATTCTTTTTAAATTGCATTTTGTTAATGCCCAGGTTTCAGCTACATATAATAATATTGAAAATATATAACATTGAATGCAACGTAATCTGATTTCTTAATTAAGATTTATGCGCTCACATTTCTGCATTTCTTCTGGTTAGGAGTGACTTCATTCATATAAACAAATGCTGATCTCATCTCTCTCATCATCATCATCATCATCATCATCATCATCATTACCATCATCAACATGTATGCTTACACTGCTGGATATAGGTCTCGCTTAGCTATTTCAATTTATCTTTATCTTGTACGACTTACATCCAGTTATTGCTAACAAGCTTCAGGTTGTTACTCCGTCTGGTTGGTGGGCGTCCTCTGCTTTTGCTTTTGGGGATATGAATAGATCCGATTTAAATACATAGTTTAATTTACCAAACGCTACCCTGGTTAATCCTAGGCAACGTGGGAGCTGTAAT